AGTGTGTGTGTGTGTGTGTGAGAGAGTGTGTGTGTGTGTGTGTGTGTGTGAGAGAGTGTGTGTGTGTGTTGTGAAATGATATACTGTGAGTCATTCTGTAGTGAGTAAATATCTGATGTCATTATTTATGAGAGGGCGTGGCCTCATCCTACAACACATTTAGAGGCATTTGCACAAATATGAAAGAGTTGTCCGTCCGAACCACAGACATATGCAAAGCAAACTTTATTGTTTAAGTGCATTTTAGAATACATCCACACAAACATTCACATTATGTTATATTCTATTCTATTCTGATTATCACTGGAAAGATCTTAAAAAGACGATCTGTTGTGTGTTGGCAGACTGTACTGGAGTTCACAAGAGAATCTATGATATATTTGTGCATTTTGTTGTTTTGTCACTTTTGAGGCATTTTCTAGACTGTGGTGAGAAGTGATGCATCAGATGCATTTATTAAATACTTTATAAAAGATCTGAATGTATAGCACGGTGTAAATCAGCTGTGTGTGAGACCTGTGAGTGCTCTGGACGTGTCTCTGAAGTAGTCGGCTGTGATGTCCTGTATGGAGTGAACAGCTTTTTCTCCGCGCTGATTCCAGTCATTCATCTCTGCCTCCAGTTCACTCACACGCTTCGGCCCCAGCTCCTCGTACTGCAGACATTTCTGAACAAACACACAGACACACGTCCATCAGCTTCTGCTGCTTCTTAACATCGTGTTTATCAGCTGAACCCACATTATCTTTCATCATCACATCTGTGAGCTTCTCCTGCTGCTTGAATGACTGACAGGTCAGATTTGGTCCTGATGTACAAGGAAAGTGTTTTTTATTTGTATGGCTCTGGCGTGAGATGTGTGCATATACCAGAATCTCCGTCTTGTAGAGTGTGGCGATCTCTCGCATGTCTCTGAAGGGCTGCAGAAGATTCTGGTAGAACTTCGTCGCCACACTCACTAATTCCCTGTAAGTCTCATCTTCCTCCTCATAGATCTTCATCAGCCGCTGGAGCCCGTCAGTGCAGGGATGAGTCTGCAGCTGCTGAAGAACAAAAACACCATCATCATCCTCACTCAACCTCAACCACCGGCAGAATGAAACTCTACTGAGCGGAATAGAATAGAACAGAACTAGGGCTGTGCAAAAAATCGAATGTGATTTTCATGCGCATCTCTTCAGTAAATCTCCAGCACGTGCTTTCAGATGGAGCGGCATTTACTACACAGAGCCGTAGTGAACGCGATTTTGAGCAGCTTGTCAGTGATCTACGGCTCTGTGTAGTGAATGCCGCTCCATCTGAAAGCACGTGCTGGAGATTTACTGAAGAGATGCGCATGATTGCAAAGCCCTAAACAGAACACAATCAAACAGAATGGAATACAATAGAATAGAATACAATAGAATAGAACACAATCAAACAGAATGGAATGGAACGCAATAGAATAGAATAATCAAACAGAATTGAACACAATAGAATATAATAGAATCAAACAGAATGGAATGGAACACAATGGAATAGAATTGAATAATCAAACAGAATTGAACACAATAGAATAGAATAGAACACAATTAAACAGAATGTAATGGAACACAATAGAATAGAATAATCAAATAGAATTGAACACAATAGAATAGAATCAAACAGAATGGAATGGAACACAATAGAATAGAATTGAACAATCAAACAGAACTGAACACAATAGAATAGAATAGAACACAAACAGAATGGAATGGAACACAATCGAATAGAATTTAATTGAACACAATAGAATAGAATAATCAAACAGAATTGAACACAATAGAATAGAACACAATTAAACAGAATGGAATAGAACAATAGAATAGAATAGAGTAGAATAAAACAGAATAGAACAGAACACAATCAAACAGAATGGAATGGAACGCAATAGAACTGCACAGAATAGAATAGAATTGAACAGAATAGAACACAACAGAATATAAAACACTAAAACACAATAGAATAGAATAGAATATGTCGCGTCTCACCGCGCCCAGCGTGTCTTTGGCGCGCGTCATCTCGTCGCGCATCGCTTTGCATTTAAACTCCTGCAGGTTTTCGAAGTACTCGCGCTCGTCCGCCTCAGTGACGCTGAAGAGCGCGTCCAGCACGATCTTGCGGCCGCACGCGTCCACCGCGGCGCCGAAGTAGCGCTCCAGCTGCCTGCAGGCCGCGTCAGCATCGCACCGCGGCGCGCTGGAGAACAGCAGCTCCCACAGGCTCGGCTCGCAGAAGCGCGTCAGGTCGGGAAACAGCGGGCCGAGCTCATCCCGGACGCCGCTCAGGTGCGCTCCAACGCCGCTCAGCTGCGCGCCGGAGAACAGACCCGCGCAGCTGCCGCTCGCGTCGCCGCGTCGCTGCAGCGTCCGGTTATGACACGTCACCGCGAACTTCGTCTCGATCTCGTTCCACTCCACGATGAATCTGAGTTTGTGGCTCTCGCTGTCGTCGAAGGCGTCGCGTTTAACGGCGACCCATCCGTCCAGACTGTCCATGCGCTCGCTGTCCGCGTCGCTCATCGCGTCGGTGTTTGTGTTGCGCTTCCGCCGTCATCAGCGGTCAGCTTCCTGCGGTCACGTGACGGGGAATTCCAGCGTCCTCGTGACGCACAGATTCTTTATTATTATGCCAGATTTTAACCAACTGTATCTGTACAATAAGAGCTGCTGCTACAAATACCCGAACTGTAACATTAAAATAGAAATCATTCCATTGTTACAGTAGTCATCAAAAGATTATGAAAACAAAACAAACAGCAAATGTGAATTAAAAACACACAGAACAAGAGCTAACACTCTAAATCAGATGAGCCTATACTTTACATGATATTTCTGTTTAAACATGCAGATGAAACACTTGTGTTTTATAAACTGATTCTGATCAGTTCTGTCAATTAATATTCATTCATTCAAAATGATACCACTGAAATTATACTTTCTTACATTTTCTATAAAGGCTTTATTGGATAAATAATTTGATACAATTCAACCCGATTTGAAAACAAAAATAATTTCACCAATTTTAGTGAATCAATTTGAAGAATATTATTGAAGCTGTCCTGGGTTTATACTTTATGATTTATGTGTAAAATGTATCTAAATTAAAGTCTAAATATAAATAATATAGGCCTATTTAAATGTAAACTTTACATCCGAGTTAATTAGATAATGGCACCGACTGAAGAACCGAATCTGTGATTTAACCTTCATATTGTTGTTAAACTGTAAGCGCTACAGTAAATGTGTTCCCAGTAAAGCAGTTGTTTGTATCGTGCAGTCGTGAGGGTTTTTTTGAGCTCCTGCTGATATTCGATCTGTCGCTCTATATTTATCTGTTCGGAGCTCGAAGCGCATGCGCAGATACTCGCTCTACACCGAACACACCGAGAACCGGCAGGTATTTATGACTGCTTTATTACTTTGATGATTTCAGTTTGAAGCAAAATCAAGAAAACAATAGCTGTTTAGGTGTGTTTATAGCTGTAAAGTGTGTGTGTGTGTGTGTGCGCGCGTTTTTGTGACAAATGAGGACAAATTTGTATAATGACAAAGGTATGACGGGTATTACAAGGAGAAGGTGACTTTTCAGGACATTACCCCATGTCCCCACTTTTCAAAACGCTTATAAATCACACAGAATGGAGTGTATTGAAAATCTGAAATAGCACAAAGTTTCCTGTGAGGGGTAGGTTTAGGGGTAGGGTTGGTGTAGGGCAATAGAATATACGGTCTGTACAGTATAAAAACCATTACGTCTATGGGATGTCCCCACTTTTCACAAAAACAAACCTGTGTGTGTGTGTGTGTCTGTGTGTGTGTGTGAGAGAGAGTGTGTGTGTGTGTGCGCGCGTTTTTGTGACAAATGAGGACAAATTTGTATAATGACAAAGGTATGACGGGTATTACAAGGAGAAGGTGACTTTTCAGGACATTACCCCATGTCCCCACTTTTCAAAACGCTTATAAATCACACAGAATGGAGTGTATTGAAAATCTGAAATAGCACAAAGTTTCCTGTGAGGGGTAGGTTTAGGGGTAGGGTTGGTGTAGGGCAATAGAATATACGGTCTGTACAGTATAAAAACCATTACGTCTATGGGATGTCCCCACTTTTCACAAAAACAAACCTGTGTGTGTGTGTGTGTCTGTGTGTGTGTGTGAGAGAGAGTGTGTGTGTGTGTGCGCGCGTTTTTGTGACAAATGAGGACAAATTTGTATAATGACAAAGGTATGACGGGTATTACAAGGAGAAGGTGACTTTTCAGGACATTACCCCATGTCCCCACTTTTCAAAACGCTTATAAATCACACAGAATGGAGTGTATTGAAAATCTGAAATAGCACAAAGTTTCCTGTGAGGGGTAGGTTTAGGGGTAGGGTTGGTGTAGGGCAATAGAATATACGGTCTGTACAGTATAAAAACCATTACGTCTATGGGATGTCCCCACTTTTCACAAAAACAAACCTGTGTGTGTGTGTGTGTCTGTGTGTGTGTGTGAGAGAGATCTGTGGGCAGATTTTCTGACAATATTTCTTGTAGAAAAACAAAACAAAACCTCATCTTACGTTTTATAAGTGTATTTCGTCGTTATAAATAACTTTGCAAACGATAGATAGATAGATAGATAGATAGACAGACAGATAGATAGATAGATTCAAATCACCTTTTAAAGTCAAATCTCTCTCAAAGTACTTCACTGGCATGATTGTTTTACATTCAGTGCTGCCATACAGCATCAGCACACACACAAACACCAGAAAATAAAATGAACACAACAGAAGCAGCAAGATATATGAGAAGAGATTGACTGTTGATTGCGTTGTAAAAAGCACTATATAAATAACGGTGAATTGACTTGACTGTCCAGACGGTGAATGACTGAACTAGTGAACATGAACGATGTGTTTCTGTCGGGGATCTGCTGCAGGTGTCGGTATGGACGTGTATGAGGTCAGAGGTCATCTGGACGTGATCGCAGAGGAGCTGACGGCGAGTGAGGAGGAGGAGGAGGCGTTTGTGATGGTGCAGGACTCTGCTGATGTCTCCACACTCGCCGGCGCGCAGCAGATGAAGGTGAGGCACAGATTCACGAGCGCGTGACCCGAGCGTCTGCAGTGTGTGACGCGGCGCTGTGCTTTCCAGGAGCAGCTGTCCAGAAGCAGGAGCAAGCTGAGCCAGAAGATCGTCCAGATGGAGAACTTCGCCAGTAACCTGGAGGAGATCTTCATCACTGTGGAGGTTTGCACACAGTCTCTGCTGCGACAGGCAGTGTTTGGGCGGTTTCATCTGCACGTGTGTGTCTGCAGGAGAACTTCGGCCGGCAGGAGCAGAATCTGGAGCAGCACTATAATGAAGTTCTGCAGACGCTGTCGCAGAGGAACGAGGCACGAGCCGCGGCGCTGGACGAGCAGAAGAACAGCAAGCTGGAGTGTTTGTACGGTCAGCTGCTGCGGTGCGGCCAAACACTGGACGCGTCCAAAGAGCTGATCGAGAGCGCACAGGAGCTCCACCGCAGACCAGACAAACACGCCTTCCTGCAGGTCAGAGCCAGCCATTCAGTCTTAATAGAGAATCGTGAAATCAAACACTGTTCAATCTGACTGCTGTGGGGTGTTTGACCCGCCCTCCTTCTCTGATTGACAGGCTGTCATGCCAATAATGAAGAGGTGAGTAGATGCAGTGTGTGGTTTGTCTAACAATCATTATTTACTCACCTTAATGTCGTTCCAAACCCGTGTGAGAATGTTGATGATGCTCTTTTCATACAGCCAGCGTGGCTTGTGTGCTGCAAACACATACCAGCTTCATCACTGTGTTTGTCACGCGACTTTGTTCCCCTTTCGGGCTCTGTTTTAAATTTATTTTGAAAGATGAAGCTCACGATTATGGTAAGGGGGCGTTACATTTCCGATGAGTGCTTGCGGTGTTCGGCCAATCACAATGCACTGGGTCAGCTGGCCAATCAGAGCAGACTGCACTTGTCAAAGGAGGGGGCTTTGTTGAAAACTACGTGTTTGAGAGAGGCGGGGCATAGAGGACCTACAATAATGTACAGTATTTGAAAAATAATGTGTTTTTTGAACATTAAAGCATGTCAACATATTCTGTTACACCAAATACACCAAATAATGATCTTTAAAAAAGCATCATATGACCCCTTTAAAGGGGTCATGAACTGAAAAACCAAAATTGCCTTGATCTTTTGACATATAAGAGGTCATTGTACTATAAAAACATCCTGTAAGTTGCAGAACTCAAAACTTTCTCGTTAGTCTAAAAACAGCTTATGAAGCCAGCATTCGCTGCCTGTTTAGCCCCGCCCACCGATTCTACAGCAGTCTGTTTAGCCCCGCCCACCGATTCTACAGGCCTGTTTAGCCCCGCCCACCGATTCTGCAGCAGTCTGTTTAGCCCCGCCCACCAATTTTACACCTCAGCACAATTCTGAATGGGATTTTCAGAAAGATTGAAACTAAAAGACGGTGTGCACTGATAATATTGGATCTGACAGTTATGTCACAACACAAATTTGAGTACGTTTTTATTTTGTGATCACTGTTGCTTTGTCTTTTCTTACAGATCGTTTGATTTCTATTGAGTTATTTATGTGTTTTTGACCTAAATCACAGCAGCGTCCATCTGTGAGGAATGTAGCTGTCAATCATACACAACTCTTAGCCAATCACAGCAGTGGGCGTTTACTTCCGAGTCTACAATCCTCCACTCCTATTCAAACAGAGCGTTCTGATGAGGGGGGTTGAAACAGCACAGAAAATAGCCTATTACTTCTACATTATGATGTTTTTTTTATGTAAAATCTTGATAACATTATAAATGGACCTCAGAGAACAGTACAAAATAAAAAGAGAGGCAGTTCATGACCCCTTTAAGATTCACTACGACTCATTCACGTTTCTGCATATTCACATCTGCTACATCACGACTGTTCACAAAACACCTGTGAACCGAGAACATTTGTACAGTTTGTAAATCTGATCAGCAGGTGCTTTCGAAGTGCTCGTCCTCCGTTTGGATTTACAGTGGATGTGCCTAATAATCACAGTAAACAGTAGATCAGTGATATAATAATTCATTATACTGACATTCTGTTATTTAATTGCACGTCCATCAGTCCTGAGCACTAACTCTGCTAACCCTAGAAGACTCGCGGGACCCTAACCCTAACGCGAGGTCTAGGGGAATCTGGGATGTTCTGTAATGTTCTGTCCAATCAGAGTGGAGCAGTTCTCCAGAGAGGAAGTGGATCTGAAGCTGGGAGTGTCTCTGGACTTCGAGGTGCTGACGACAGATCTGTCCGATGTCAGACAGATGATGGAGTCCATTAACGTGCTTCCAGGTCAGACGCCGACCGCTGCTCGTTTATATTTACATTCGCTGGGTTCCATTTATGCAGTTTTATGCCATAGAAACATAGAAGATGCAAATAAAACTTCCAAAATGTGCCTAAAAACAGAGACTCACCTGAAGTGGATAATCTTTTATTTGGCGACATGTAAATAAACTACAGTGGAAACATTTACATGTGCTAAACAAATTCCTACTGGCACGATAAGAGAAAGTCATGTGACTGAATAATTGACAAAGAGACATATTATTTTTGCAAAATTCAGATTTTGGGAATGTAAAGAGTGTAAATGATGCTCTCGACAGTGTTAAACACTCACTCACATGAAAGGGCTGGTATTTGTCTGATTATTTTTCTGTTGAAGCTGAGACACAGTTATGGCTTCATTAATTTAGCTGTTTAAAGGGTTCGTATGATTGAGATTCCTGAACTGCAGCAGAACTAGCGCTAGAGTTATTACACATTATAACACACATCAGAGCTCCAGCTCTTCAGTTCACATGCGACACACTCTTTCTGCCCTGAGCTCCACTGCACTTCATGCAAATGTGTTTAGCTTCAGACGATTAACATGCAGCAAAGGAAAAACACTGTGTAGTGCACAAAAAAGTCTCACAAATAAAATGATACAAAACTGTAGAAAATGAGCCTTTGAATGCTTTCAGTCAGCAGGTTGAACAGGTGTGTTTGACTGTCTGTCTGTCTGTCTGTGTGTGTCTGTGTCTGTCTGTCTGTCTGTCTGTCTGTGTCTGTCTGTGTCTGTCTGTGTCTGTCTGTGTCTGTCTGTGTCTGTCTGTGTGTGTGTGTGTGTGTGTGTATAGCTCCATCGGCTCCGGTCATGAATCCGCAGATCGCTAACTCTGCCACCGACACGTCGCTGCACGTGTGCTGGAGTCTGTTCTCGGACGACACCGTGGAGTTTTATGAGCTTTACTGGCGTCTGATCTCTGACGACTGCACTATGGAGACGCCGCAGGAGGGTAAACGCGTCATTTACTACCCAAACCAGTTAAACGCAAACCCCACTGGTCAACTCAACATGCCTTCACCTGTCAAAACAGACTTAAATCCAATCGCAGAAAAACAGTAATGCTCAATCTGTCAGGATGTGCTAGCTGCTCTATACTGAGGTCAGAGGTTAGGGTTAGGGGTTGGGCACAGGTTAGGGTTATAGGGTTAGGGATTAGACCAGGGCTTCTCAACTCTGGTCCTTGAGGTCCACTTTCCTACAGAGTTGAGCTCCAACCCTGATCAAACACACCTGAGCCAGCTATAGAGTTACAGACAGGTGAGTTTGATGATGGATGGAGCAGAACTCTACAGGTAAGTGAACCTCGAGGCCAGAGATGAGAACCAGGGCCGTAAAACACCACAGACACTGAGGGGGACGAGTCCTAATAATCAGGACAGATTGTCCCTCATAATATCTCAAATTTTGCTCTGCTCTGCTGTTTATCTTTAGGATGACAAAAGGTTTTAAAAGTGACATTTTTAGTCTGGTCTGCTTCAGTGCTCGTTATTGTCAAAATGATTGAGATGACCAATCAAATCAAAGTAGACAGAGTTTACGGTTCACAGAAGCAGAGCGCGAGTTACAGTGCAAAGCGTCAGTTTTTAGCAAAACATTTAATATTTGAAAACTGTTTTAGGATAGATGGTTAAATGACCAACTAAGAATACTACTCCACCTTTTTCCTCAAATTTCACCCATTTGAATTGAAAACGTGATTCATGTAATTCCTCAATGAATGTGACGAGACAAGAAACATTTTGCGTTTTCAACGTATTAGGCATAGAAATAAGAGTGAATGTGTGCATATTTTAAAATATTATTTACAAATAGCTGAAAATGATCACTTCACAACTAGAATTAGACCTAGAATTTCCTTCAACGTTGTATTTCTTGATACTTTAAAAAACAACGACTGGTTTCCCCCAATATTCAAGACATGGCCTTGTAGAGAAGCCCTGGTTTGGGGTTTAGTATTTGTTTCAGCATTGTGCTTAAAAAGACCAATGCAGTCTTTAGAATGGGCCGCAGGGTTTGTTTTTAACTCAGAGTGTCCAGTCCTGTGGTCTTTACCTTCAAACTCAGCTGAACCGACTCACTGAGGTCTGGAGGATTAAAGGGGTCATGAACTGCCTCTGTTTTTATTTTGTACTGTTCTCTGAGCTCCACTTATAATGTTATCAAGTTTTTACATCAAAAAACAAAATGTAGAAGTAATAGGCTATTTTCTGTGCTGTTTTAACCCCCCTCATCAGAACGCTCTGTTTGAATAGGAGTGGAGGATTGTAGACTCGGAAGTAAACGCCCACTGCTGTGATTGGCTAAGAGTTGTGTATGATTGACAGCTACATTCCTCACAGATGGACGCTGCTGTGATTTAGGTTAAAAACACATAAATACTCAGTATTTTAAATGATCTGTTTAACAGACAAAGCAATAGTGATCACATAATGTAAACAGTTACTCACACTTGTGTGCTACAACATTACTGTCAGATCCAATAGTCTTTTAGTTTCAATCTTTCTGAAAATCCTGAGTTGAATTATGTCTTGTTTGTAAACAAATCCACAGTAAAATGAAGTGAACTGAGTTCTTACTGACACGGTCTGGATCTTCATTAAAAATAAAGTTCATCCACTCTTTCCTAACGTTGGGATCAGAAGGAAGGCAACGCAAACACTGTTTTTCCACAGCTTGGCACTGCACAGTGTCTTGTTGTTTTCGGAGCATCTTTATCATTTGGTTTCTGCACAGACCTGTATTCGCCTCTCTGGTAAACACTACATGCGTTAATCGGTGCGCGGGGCTAAACAGGCAGTGCTGTAGAATCGGTGGGCGGGGCTAAAAAGGCAGTGATGTAGAATCGGTGGGCGGCGCTAAACAGGCTGCACTGTAGAATTGGTGGGTGGGACTAAACAGGCAGTGATGTAGAATCGGTGGGCGGGGCTAAACAGGCAGCGCTGTAGAATCGGTGGGCGGGGCTAAACAGGCAGCGCTGTAGAATCGGTGGGCTGAGCTAAACAGGCAGCACTGTATAATCGGTGGGCGGGGCTAAACAGGCAGTGTTGTATAATTGGTGGGCAGGGCTAAAAAGGCAGTGATGTAGAATCGGTGGGCGGGGCTAAACAGGCAGCGATGTAGAAGCAGGCGTTGATCTTCTGTTGAGGTGGTGCTTATCCACACTATGACATCATAGAGTAGAACATTCCACAAGCTGTGGTTTTGGCAGATCGGCTTCAATATAAGCTGTTTTTAGACTAACAACAAAGTTTTGGGTTCTGAAACTTACAGGATGTTTTTATAGAACAATGACCTTTTATGTTAAAAGATCAAGGGAATTTTGGTTTCTCAGTTCATGACCCCTTTAATAGAAACATCCAGGAGTGTGTTTGGAGCTGAACTCTGCAGGACTGGATCTGCTCACACACACGTGTCCAGTCAGCTCTGTGTGTGTTTGCAGTGTCTCAGCTGAAGGTGAAGGAGACGCACTGCACCGTGTCTGATCTGCTTCCTAACGCTCAGTATGAGCTCTGGGTCACAGCCACCAACACCACAGGCATCAGCCCGGCCAGCGAGAGGGCCGTTTATATGACGGGTACGTGCCGCTCATCTGCAGAGCTGCTGTAGTGGACGAGTGTGTAACGCTGTGTGTGTGTGTGTGTGTGTGTGTGTGTGTGCAGTTCCCTCTCCTCCGGTTCTCAAGCCACGGCAGTGCGTGAGCAGCCTGGACGCGGCGCTGATCCGCTGGGACTCTGGAAACACCAACCCGGTGGAGTCGTACACGCTGGAGTTTCACCGGACCCACGCAGATGGCGGCTGCTCCGCCACAGAGTCAGTGAGCTTCATTACACACATCAGAATGAGTCCAGAGATGAGTGTTCTGGCATCATGTACTCACCCTCACATCGTCCAAACTGTACCACTTTCTGCCCAACAGAGGAGATGTTTCGAAGAATGTTTCAGCTCATATTATGACAGTCAGTGGGGACCCAAAGCTGCAAAAAGAAGAAAGATAGTGTGACTCCATATTCCAAGTCTCCTGAAACGACACAATCACAATTTATATCATGATAATTTAGTCTGTATTCAATGTAATATCAAGTCAAAACACTGATCAACGCACAAACGAGGTCTGCCCGGAAAGTATCCAGCCATCTAATATGAAAAATAGAGACATTTATCAAAGAAGATACAAGAAACTTGTTTCAGTTTCAGTTTCCTTCAAAGGTGAATTAAGTTTGGGAAAAGCCAGGATGTTTTCCTCGTAGTGCATCTCTCATCTAATATTTTTCATATTACATGGCTGGATACTTTCCAGACAAGTCAAGTCAAGTCACTTTTATTTATATAGAGCTTTTAACAATACAGATTGTGTCAAAGCAGCTGTACAGTATCAAAATAGGAAAATAGTGTGTCAATAATGCAGAAGGACAATAGTAAACACTCAATTTTCGGTTAAAGGCAGTTTATCATTGAGTTCAGAGATGTCATCATCCAGCTCAGTTCAGTTTAAATAGTATCTGTGCAATCAAGTCCACGATATCGCTGGAAATGAAGTGTCCCCAACTAAGCAAGCCAGAGGAACCAAAACTTTATCAGTGTCAGAATGGAGAAAAAACCTTGGGAAAAACCAGGCTCAGTTCTCCTCTGTAGCAGAGTTGTGTAAGAAAAAATTTAAATGAGAGTACAAACCAGCAGAGACAGGGTCAGTCTGTCCAAACCCAGTCCTGATTATATTACAGAAAACAGAGCAGAATAACAGCGGGGCTAGTGGGTAACTAACTAGCTAAACCAACTAATCTCCAAATAATGTCACTAACCTGCGAACGCTGGTGCTCCGAAGCGCTCAGTGCAGATTTGGAGATCCATCTGATCACCTGTTTGACATGAAGGCAGTGAAGCGTCCGCTCTCTTCCGGCAGGTCCGTCGTGGCGATCCCGTCCTGCGAGTGTCTGGTGCAGCTGCAGCCCTGGAAGCACTACATCATCCACATCAGAGCCGTGAACATCGGCGGCCCGAGCGACCACAGCGAGCCCATCACCGTCTCCACCACAGGTTCCCACCACACCTGACATTCAGTTCAAGCTTCAATCCACGTTTATTTGTATAGCCCTTTTCATGATAGAAATTGTTGCAAAGCAGCTTTACAGAAAATTTAAGTTTCTACATTTTATTCAGGAGTAACTTATCAGTGGTGACTATGTCAAGTTGATGTCCATATCATGCAGTTAGTTAATGTCATGTAATCAAACAGACGGTCAACACTATTAACAGCAATGCTTATATTTTGCAATCAAACTTATAGCAAAGTTTGGTAGTTCTGTAAGTTGATTCAGTGTTGGCATCATCTGAGGTCCTCTGAGGGGTAGGCGTCATCTCTTCTCAGATCTTCGTAAGGGCTGGATCCAGACTGAAGCTTGTGTAATTCCTAGTTACCTTGTGTCTGAACCCCCCAATGTTATCCAGAAGGTTATTCCTGAGTTTGGGAGCCAAATGCGAAACAGCTCGCATAACAGTGGAAACTAATCCCATATTTTCTAATAATATTACCAAGGGGCAACATGTATATTGAAAATAGCAGAGGGCCTAAGACAGATCCTTGTGGCTCTCCGTACTTTACTGCCGATAACTGAGATGATTCCCTGTTTAAATATGAACGCACCTGACGAACACTTGTGTGTGACGTGTGTGAGTACAGGTACGTTCTTCCACCTGCTGGAAGACACAGCGCATCCGAGCCTGTCGCTGTCAACCGACGGCCTCACCATGTTCTACCTGGATGAAGATCTTCCCATCAGTCACATGACCTTCAGCGACAACACCTTCAACAGGTGAGGCAGCAGCGGGTCGGTCGGGTCGGGTCGGAGCCGCTAACGCTGTGTCTCTTGCAGGTGCGTGGCGGTTCTGGGCGACCTGGTGCCCATCAGAGGCCAGTATTACTGGGAGATCGATGTGGACGAGAGCGCAGAGTTCCGCGTGGGCGTGGCGTACGAGGACACACAGCGCAACTCGTACCTGGGCGGGAACAACACGTCCTGGTGCATGAGACACATCCTCACACCGTCCAGGTGCGTCGCCTCGCAGAACCACAGCAAACGGTTCAAACAATGAAAGTGCATTTCTCTTGGAATATGGGCGAAAGCATTAAAATGTTTACTTTAAACATTTGTGCTATGCAACACGTGCATCTGCAAGCGCGTTACTCAGCCTGCGGCACTCTCTTTAAAATTACTAAGTGTAAACATTTAAACAAATTAAATCACTGAAATATGAGACACTAACCCTAATATTGTGTGCCATTTGTGCAGAGTTGGCAGATTTTCGCAACAACACCCGCTCAATTGCTACTCAAAACTAGCCCAAACACGTTTCAAGTGGGGTCCACCGGTAAAAAAATGCATTCCAAGGGGTAAAATACACGTTTTTTTTTTATGGGGTTCTCCGGTACAATTTGCATGACAGGGGCTAAATATCACGTTATTGGGGTCGCTTCAACTCAACGACATGAAAAACAACCCGTGACGACAGTGTTAAAGTAGACCAATTTTGCAGGAAAACGGCAGACTTGTCAACACTGCATCTGTGAGCTCATCATGTTTTCACTAGGGTCCTATAGCATGAATGAGGGGGAATGGTGAGGTACTCGTGTCTATCTAGAGTCCATCTGAACGCTCAGGCTTCTGTCTCCTCCTGCAGACACAAATACGAGTTCCTGCACAACGGCTGGACGCCGGACATCCGCATCACAGTTCAGCCGCTGCGGATCGGTGTGTTCCTCGATTACACCCGCGGGATCCTGTCCTTCTACAACGCAGCGCTGCGGCAGCACCTCTACACCTTCAGCTGTCAGTTCCTGCACTACGTTCAGCCGTGTTTCGCGCTGGATAACCCCGGAGCGCTGACGCTCCGCGCCGGACTGACCGCGCCGCCACACGTCACGCAGCCCTGAGCCCACGAACAGGACTTAGATCTCAACTGATCTAGAGCTGAATAAACCACAGCCAGCATCTGTGTGGGGTTTCTTTCGTTTATTATTCCATAGGAACAGTTACACAGCAGTCCTGCCAGTAAAACGTGATCAAATAAAGTCTGTGGTGCTGCAGTTCTGCGCAGACATGCGTTTAGATGGAGCTCTTATTCCCGCTGCGCATGCGCTCCTCCTCATCTGATGAATCTCCTCCATACGGAACGAGTCTAGAGGAGCTGCTGGAGTCTTCATCATCTTCATCATCAGCTGTTCTTCAGCTGCAGGGAGATCAGAGACTTCATCAGCTTCCAGAGTACAAGTCGTTATTGTGTTTGTTTGTGTTTATACTAGGGCTGCCCTCGACAGGATTTTTCTGGTCGACTAGTAGTCGTTCATTTGAAGCATTAGTCGACTAGTCGCACTATTATTAATAAACCATTTAAATCATAATGAGCCTTTAATTGCCTGCATTGCCTAATAAGCGCATGCCTAAAGCTTGCCACAGCACACGCAGAAGTAATGATTATGAATGTGTCAGGGGAAAACGGTAAGGAGGCTGCATTAACATTTTAATAATGTGCTGATAAACTAGTGTTTTCGGTTTAAGAGATTAACTCGGCACAGTTGTGATGCGCCTGTATGCACATTTCATACGAATTACATAATCGGGGGATTTTTTTCAATTTGAATGGGATCATTTGAAAGTAGACATTTCGCTCTCTATAGATATATTTTTCATATAAAGGCAAGTATACACAGAGTTTTGCGCTCAAGTTCACAGAGACCGAAAATGCATCCTGTTTGCTCTCATTATTTTACAAAAGCACAATGTTTTGTTATTGTGAGTGCACAAAAAATAAACGTAGAGTCTTTACAGATTCAAAAGATTTATTACTCTTATCTGTATGAGCAAACATGAGGAGTATTTTAACATCAAGTGAGCCTCCATCTGTCTGCAGTGAGCTACTGTTCAGCTCCACACAGACACTTGAACAGAGCACATTTCTCTAGGTTAACATCAGATTGAGCGGCCATGTAAAGTTGCTGCTACTAACATATTTAAGATGATAAGCCATATTTGAGGTTGATGAATGATAGGCCAGTGTTTGGATGTTCTGCTCGATGTACTGTACAGTATTACCACAAAGACCAGCCATCACGGACTGCGTGACTGCCTGGGGATTTAAAAAAAAATAAAAATTTCCACAACTAAGCAACTAATAAACTTTTGGTCGACCAAGCCTCTTCTCGTCAACTAACAGTTAGTCGACTATTAGGGGGCAGCCCTAGTTTATACACACCTCTCTGTGTGTGTGTGTGTGTGTGTGTGTGTGTGTGTGTGTGTGTGTGTGTGTGA